ACAAAGTGAAGAGAAATTGATGCGTAGTGTATTATATCTGTGCAACAGTTATTGAGCCTTTCTCTTAACAATTTTAAATTTCAGTTACTGTGCACGTTAAAAACAATTGATAGTCTTTTCTACGCCCGTGTTTTGTTCTCACAGACACCCGGTAGCAAGTAACAAAACATTAAACTCCGGCAAGAAGATAAAGTCCTTTTTGCAGAATCATAGACATGTATTTACAAATCAAGTATAATGGGAACACAGAATGATCTTGGAGAGAGCTTTACCGAGCTGACTGCTGTAACCGAACGCGACCAGGGTTTAATGGCTGAACGAATGACTGACAGCCAAAGCGGAGAAAAGAGTTTGTGTGAACTTTAATGTAAGGACTTAAATATTAATATGTAGCTCACATTAAGCTATCGTATGGCTTCAGAAGTAACACAGAATAATTCGCACAATCGGAAAAAAAAAAATTTAAATCTTGGATTTGGATCGGTTCTCTCTGCCCGATACCGATCCGAGAAAAATTGCACTATCGGAGCCGATACCCCATATGAATATCGGATCGGCGCATCCCTAGTCTGCGGTGGGTTACGGCTCCATGGGAACCGGAGCTGATTGCGGCTGCTCTAGTCAATGCTTGTGTTTATACCGGCCAGCCGCGTCACGTTTCTGAAACAGCTCTCCGCGCTGCTTGGTTAAAATAGTCTTTTGTGAGTTGGCACTAGAGTTGGGTATTGTTTTTTTTTTCTCCCCCGATACTTAAAAAATAAATAAATAAAAATTCCCCAAAAAATGATGGATTGTCCATTAGCACTATAAACACACGATGTCTGTTTCATTCATACATCGCACAGAAAGTCCACATATTCAGAAGTAGCGGAACTCATGACCCTCCAGGGAATACCTTATATGGACAAAGGCATTGTTATTATAGCTGTAACGGAGTAAACGGAACATATAAACGTTTTGAATAATAAAACAAAGACAATAAACACTCGACTGCGACAATATAGTTTATCGGTGTTATTCAAGCCATCTTTGTTGTTTTCATAATAATTAATTATATTTATAATCAATTGCTAATCGATCTATTCTTTTTAAAGTAGCCTATGGAACATATTTTCTGCCTCATTCTGTGACAAGAAGCCACATCAGATCACAGAAGGAAGCATTTGACTGGTGTTGTGGAGTAAAAAGGTTATAATCTTCTCTTTTGTTGGACAACAGGTTTATAAATGTGAATACAAGGGAAGTTTAGCATTTTAATTTAAGCATGTTTAGCTTAGTTAACTGAAGGCTACCTGCTGCCATCAGAGCAAGTGCAATTACTGCATTCACGTGCTCCTCGGATGCTCTCATTTCCCTGAGTTGTACTTTTAAAGGGTTAGTTCACCCAAAAATGAAAATTAGACTGTGTTTTACTCACCCTCGAGGCATCCTAGGTGTATATGACTTTCTTCTTTCAGACGAATCCAGTCGGAGTTATATTAAAAATTGTCCTGGCTATTCCAAGCTCTATCATTGCAGTCCACAAGTCGTCAAATAAAGCGCGCGCATTCATAATAAATGTGCCTGCCACTGCTCCGGGGGGGGGGGGGAATAAAGGAATAAATATTCATGAATCATGAATATTTTACAGCATTAGTTGAGGTTTTTTTTTCCTTGAGAAAATTTGGCATGTACTGTACCTGATATTTATCCAAAATAATCGATATTGAATCAAATTGCAAGCTTGTGAATGAGAATTGAATCGTGAAATTTGACTCAACACCCAGCCCTACTGCTCACTCAAGTCCCCACTCCAAGGGTTCTGCCCTTCAAAGGCATAGGGATGATCACGTCCATTTGGAATTTGCCCCGTGAACCGTACGGTATGAATACGTGTACCGTTACACCCCTAAACACAGGACTACAACAATATATGATTTATCTGAGTTCTTATTATAATTATTATGATAATTTTCATTATAGTAAAGTATATAATATTGCAGTGCTAATCAACATAGCTTTTATCAATGCTTAGAATACTATGAAATATGTTGCGTGCCTTATTCTGTGTGAGAAGCCACATCATCTCACAGAAGGATTATTTCACTCGACTGATGTTATGAAGTGAGTTTGGAGTAAAAACATCTTATTAAATGTGGTATTTTCACGTGCTTTCAGATGGAGCAGCATTTACTACACAGAGCCGTAGTTCACTGACACGCAATAGAGATTTACTACTGATTACCGAACCGGCTTTACTGACAAGATGTGCATGACAATCGCATTCGATTAATCGTGCAGCCCTAATTTGTCTTGTCATTAATAAACTCCAGCATTTAAAGACTACATATCTGCAGCAAGCGCTAGTAATAAACAGGGCGTTATTGTCTGTTGGTGTGAATGCTATAGTTAACGTTCCTGGTGTAAATGGATGTTTACAGCGGTGTTCGATTGATTTATAGCATCTGTCTTTGCACTTCAATCCAGAAATTACATATAATCTGTGGGGGATACAAATTGTGGCTTTGAAACAGTTGAAAGTTGACGTGTGCATTTCTTTTACTTCAGTTCCTCTGTGGCATTCAAAATGAAGAAGAAGGTTCGACATAATCGTCTTGCCAACCCGCAGAGGCCTCCCTCGCCCATCAAACCCTCACGTAACCGAGAGACCTTGACGTACGCCGAGGCTCAACGTATGGTTGAGCTGGAAATCGATGGCCGCGTGCACAGGCTTAGCATTTACGACAAACTGGATGTCATCGACAGCGACGACCCTTTAGCTCAGGAGATCAGTGAGTGCACCAGCAACAAGGAGAACACGGAGAAGCCACAGCAGGTCCTTGTGCGCTCGGTGCGGCTCAAAAACAACCAGCAGAAGAAGAGCGCCGCATTGACAACAGTGCAGGGTTCGCCAGCTCAGGGCAGGCTACCGGAGCCAAAGATCCGAACGATTGAGTACAACCTCCCGGCAGTGCCGCGGAGGCCGTCGGCGTACTACACCTACATGGAGAAAACGCTGGACGAGCTCGACGAGGTGGTGGAATACGACATGGACGAGGAAGACTATGCATGGCTCGAGCTGATCAACGAGAAGAGGAAGACCGACGGCTACAGCCAGGTCTCTCAGAACGTCTTCGAGTTCCTCATGGACCGCTTCGAGAAGGAGTCTTTCTTCGAGAGCCAGGGCCAAGGAGACCCCCAGTCGCTTATTGACGAGGACGCTGTGTGCTGCATCTGCATGGATGGCGAGTGCCAGAACAGTAACGCGATTTTGTTCTGCGACATGTGCAATCTCGCCGTGCATCAGGAGTGCTACGGCGTCCCCCACATCCCGGAGGGCCGCTGGCTTTGCCGCCATTGCTTAAATTCTCCCTCCCAGCTCGCCGAGTGCATATTCTGTCCGAATAAAGGTGGCGCGCTTAAGAGAACGGACGACGATCGCTGGGGGCACGTGGTCTGCGCCATCTGGGTCCCTGAAGTCGGTTTTACCAATACGGTTTTCATTGAACCCATCGACGGTGTGGCGAACATTCCTCCAGCTCGCTGGAAACTCACCTGTTACCTATGCAAGAAGAAGGGAATGGGCGCTTGCATTCAGTGCAGCAAGGCTAACTGTTACACGGCTTTCCACGTGAGCTGCGCTCAGAAAGCCGGCCTCTACATGAAGGTGGAGCCCATCAAAGAGGTCACCGAATCTGGAGCTACTACATTCTCTGTGAAGAAAACGGCGTACTGTTGCTCTCATACACCTAATGGTTGTGTGAGGAGACCCCTCACTATATACGAGGACTCCAAACCCAAGAACGGTTTATGTCAGAAGGTTGCTCACAGGAATAGAGCAAAGGGATACCAGAAGAAGAACAAAAAAAAGCCTGAATCAGAGCCCGTTGCAGTGGTTCCGACGGTTTCTGGGCCTAGGATTACACCTAAAAGGTAGGGTAAATGGTTTTCTGCAAAGATTTTCTGAATCCTTATTGTTTTTAATGGTTTTGACACTCTGTGATTCCCTTTGTTCTTACAGTTTCAACACAATCCTCAATCAAGTTTCTGTCCAGAAGAAGAAGGTGTTCGTGGAACGGGTTCTCAGTTACTGGATGCTGAAGAGGCAGTCGAGGAATGGTGTCCCACTAATAAGGCGCCTGCAGACTGCCATACAGACGCAAAAAGAACCAGAACAGGTAATGTAATGACTAAATGCAATGTAGAACAGGTGAGACTTTCTCGGACCGCAGTGACTGACAGCCATATGCATATGAATTTTGAGCGAGGATTTGTTTTTGAATGACAGGCACCATGTGTTGAAGACCATCAATCTCTGACGGAGCAGTTAAAGGACTGGCATCGTTTACGGCATGACCTGGAGCGTGCTCGCTTGCTGCTGGAGCTCATCCGCAAGAGGGAGAAGCTAAAGAGAGTGGAGGTAGGGTGGTCATCGTGATATGATGTGGCATCAGGTGGAAGAGAAAGAAAGAAATGTTTAAACTTTTTATGTATAACTTACTATCAACTTGGTATCATAGTACTTGGTACTTTTGTCATCCCTAATGTATGCAGCTACATGAAAAGTGTGTTTTGCTAAAGTTAATGTAATCCTTCCCTCCATGCAGATGAAGTTGCAGCAGTCGGTTTTGGAGATGCAGCTCACTCCGTTCCCTGTCCTGCTGCGAGCAGTGCTGGATCAGCTGCAGGAGAAAGACCAGGCTAAAATCTTTGTCCAGCCTGTCAGCAACACAGAGGTATGTCTGTCTCATTCCTGTGTGCTGTTAGTCATGCTGACCTTATCAAAATGTAATTTTTTTTATAATATGAAGATTCCTGATGTGAAATTTTTTTTTATAAAACAGGGTTTTTCAGATTGGGGAAAAATATTTTTAAAGTTTTTAGAAATTAAATTAGTTTGTTTCATGAAAACATATCTAATTTATTTTTCTTCTCTTGGTTGTACTATGAAAATAGTAGGATTGTCTGTAAAATTGCTTTGGAAGAGGATTTTTTTTTTACACAATGTTTATTAAAACGTACTTTTTAGGTTATTAAAAAACTTGTATAGTATTATATGAAAGTTGAATTTGAAAATGTATATACGAGTAAAAAAAATTTATTTTAATATATATTTTCCATTTATAATGTATATGTAATAAACTCATATTTTAGAGATTTATTTTAGCTTTAGTACAATAGTAATATAAAAGCCAGTCATTTGATTTTGAAACGCTTTGTTAGTTTTTTTTTTTTTATATATATATATAAATGGGTTGCTATACATAAATATATTATACTATTATTTTTTTTAATAAGTATTTAATTTCCTCAATATAAATAACGGGATTTATATTAATAGCATAATAACTTTGAACATTCTTATAAAAAATAAAATTGTTTAAAAAATATTTTAATGTATTTAAAAAACACATTTAAAAATAAATTAAAAAATAAAACTATTCAATGTGAAGGCATATTTTAATTCTCTTCATTAATAGCTGGTCAAAGCTTCCTCTAAGAACTGTGATACTCTTTAAAATGGGTTTGTGTTAAATATTTGATCTCTCGTTACAGGTGACAAGTCATTACCTCCAAAACTTGAGCCTTCAGACTCTGTGCCACTCCTGAAAAACTCAGTCAGTCTCTGTGAACCTCCGACACTGAAACCCATAGAGCTCAGCCCTGAAAAGTGCCCGAAAAAGGTCAAATTTGACAGGGAGACATTCTCTACCTCACTTCTAAATGGTCTCTCCTCTGACGTTATGCCCTCTGAAAATAACGTTATGGTCGCTACCTCGACTCTTACCGAACCAGCGAATATGGTCAACCGGCGAACGGCTGTGCTGTTTCGAAAGTCAAAGAGTCCGCAGAAGCCATCGAACACGAGTGAATCCTCAATTAATTGCCCTCAGCTGGGCACTAAGACGTTCCTGTCTGTGGTCATCCCTCGCCTCGAAACTCTGCTCCAGCGCAGGAAGAGGAAGCGCAGTGCTAGCGGAGACAGTCAGGGTGACGAGGATGAGTGTCCGATTAAACGCTTGGATACTGGTAAACCGCTTTCGCTTTTCGATTTCAAGAAACACAGTTTCCTTCCCTCTCTGGGCATATTATAGACATTTTTTTGTACTTACAGGCTTGTCTAATGGCTTTTCTGAGCCTAAGAAAGGGCTAACTGTGAATCGGCTGTCAGAGCCTCGTCGCCGCTGTGCTTCAGAGTCCAGCATTTCCTCCAGCGGAAGTGGGAGCATACAGGAAAACACGAGGTGAGAATGAGTACATTAAATTAAAGACATTTAGTATACAGTTTTTCAGGCTTTATTAGTTATGATGAATTAAATTTCTGTCTTTCAGTGATGTCAGTCACACAAAGAGCGGGAAAGGGAAGCTGGCGATGACGAGGCGAAACACGACGGACGATAAAAAAGAACTGGTCAATTGCGTGGAACCAGGGAACATTTCCAAAGCCAACAAGCTGGCAGCAGGTGAGCATCCGGCTTTATGCAGCCGTGAGCGGGTATGTGGGATTTTACACACAGGCCCATCCTTCAGTTCAGAGAAATGGGTCAGACCTGTTCTGGCAGCTGCATTGGTGTCCCGTCAGCTCTGTGGAAGCTCACTGTCCTTCCTTCTGCTTGCTTTGCCACTGACCTGCTCTTCATGGCTTTGTCTAACACAAAGACCGCTGCGTACTGCCGTAGTGTCTGCATGTGTGAAACCCTCATGTTTTAATAATCATCACGGCGTATCCTGTCCTTCTGGGTAGTTGCTGCTTATGTTTGCTCTTTAACATGGCACTTAAAGGGACAGTTCATCTGAAAATAAAAATTGTCATAATTTATTCAGTCTCATGTCGTTCCAAATAATTTTTTTTACCTCAGTAAGATGCATGAAATATTCATTTGTGCCTTTCTTGCCCATTCAATGAAACTGTATAGTGATCCAATTAGCATCCAAACCATTGCACAGTAACTTTTTATTCCAAGTGCGCAGTTTTGCTGTCTGCCACTTTAAATGGTTGAGCTCTATATAGTCGGATGGATTCTGATTGGCTGTCAATGTTTTTATCACTCATCAACTGAAAGTGATTCCAAAGATATCGTTCCTCTTTGCGTTATCATTCTGCTGTGGACTTTTCATAGAATTGAAACTAGGGCTGTCACATTATCATATTGCATGATTAATTCACAATAATATTTTTTTGCAATATCTGTATTTCTTCTTATAATCTACATAATCAAATTTTGCCAATAATGCCATTTTTAATTCTATAGCAGAGGAGAAGATTTTTCAGTGAGCAGAGACTTAAATGTTGACAAGTTCTTTACCCAAATCTATTGTATAAATTCAGAGGAAACTCAGAAATTTCAGAAACCTCATGTGGACTATTTTTATGCCATTTTTGGAGCTTGACACTCCCTGTTCTTGCATAGAAAAAAGCAGGAAGAATCAGTGTAGCCTTTTGTGTTTAATAAAAGTAAATGGTGAATTTTGAACTATGTGAGGGTGAGTAAATGATGACAGAATTTGAATTTTTTTTTATGAACTAACCCTTTAAAAGTAAATTCATCCCAAACAGTATTTTCCGAACGATTTCCTTGATTGCTTACCATTAATATGCTGAGTGAAATCTTTTGGCCTGCCACGCGTTTTCCCAGAAATACAAAGCTTACTTCTGCATTCTGACTCGCAAGCATGTCAGAGTCTGAGTGGGCTCATTAGTCATGTTTGACCTTTCCAGACCAAATCAAAACCATTTTCAGCACATTTCTTAATTTAGTTTTAATTGAAATGTATTCTTTGGAAGTGGCATTAGAGGCATAATAGTGTCTGGTGAATGGCTCGGCATGCTTCCGTTAAAGAAATGACCCACTGCTGCCGATTTCTGATTGGCTAAATACTGCCGTGGCTCTTGAGGTGTTCTGCACCATTTTTTACGGTGAACCCCTCATAACTTTCCATTATTCCTACTTTCATAGAGATTGACAGCAGCAATATTTGGATGCCTGCTAACACTACACCACTAAATCTGGAGCCCCTTAAACTAGTTTGGGCCAAACTTAGTGGATATCCTTCCTATCCTGCCTTGGTGAGTGTGCATGTGTGCATGCCATCAGAGACTGGTTCTCTTCCTCTTCATTATTTCATGCATCAGCCTCCTCAGTGGCCAACAGTCAACCATAACATTATTGCCAGGTGATACAACCAGGATACGTATGTGCATACATTTGTTTTGTGTGTGCGTGAGCGAGCGTGAACATAAGTGTGCGTGCGTTCCTGTGTTTTGTGGCAACCATTCCCATTCCCAACAGTTTATACATTAGCAGTCACAGGCACACTCTGAGTTACCAGGTTACCAGGCCTTTCGAGATGCGCGTTGGAAGGTTACTGTTGTGTTGATGGCCTCTCTGCCCACATGTAGATCATAGATCCTCAGATGTCTCGGGCGGGTTGCCATCTCAACGACGAGTACATTCCCACCCCTCCACGGGACGTGCTCAGGGTCGGAGAGCTGATGCAGTTCAGGTCCAAGGAGAAACTCTTCCTCGTCCGCTTCTTCGACAGCAAACGCAACTGGTGAGAAGTCTTGCATTCAGAGAAACATTCAAATATTTTCACAATTACAGCGAAATGTGTTCATGTGTCTGACATCAGTGGTCTTGGGGCAGTTTTTTTGCAAAATAGTTTTAGGGTATTTAAACTTAACATGTTAAGTTGTTAATTATGCAAGTTACAGAATATTATGCAAGTTAACTTAATGTTATTTGAACACATATTTAAATATTTTTGTTTAAGTCTTGGAAATCATGTAATTGAAAATATGTGCCCCTATCATGGGTTATGAAAGGTTCATATTTTGGTTTTGGGAGTCCCCAACAACAGGTTGACATGGATTCAAGGTCAAAAAACACTTTCATTGTCTTATAATATGCATTTATTTTTACCTTATTAGCTCAACGACTCCCAAACGATTCGCTCAACGATTGATTTTTCCAAACCCCTCCTTTGCATGACGCTAATCTGCGGTGATTGGTCCGATTGGCGATTGGTCAATTTCATTTTCATTTCATCTTGCCTGTAATGCCTGATAAAGTAGCGTTTGTGAGCGCAGTGCTGCTTTGTGTACAGCGTTACCGGGGAAACCACTATTTTACTGCTCCAAAAGCGGCACCTAGTGGCATAGAATGCAGTAGCCCCTAAAAACACAAGATCCAGGGGGCATTGTTGGATCCACATCTAGGGGGTGGAGATGGGTAGGTTTAGGGGTGGAAATGGGTGAGTTTAGGGATCAGGGGGTGGAGATGGGTAGGTTTAGGTATATGTAAGGTGGGAGGAGTTGGATCTGGATCCAACCACGCCCCTGGATCTTGTGTTCTGCAGTGAGGACCATCTCAACAAGTGGGCGGGCAATATGCTAATGTGTTATGTTGACGTCAACATGAAACGGCTTGGGATTCGTTTTAAAAATGACTCGTTTCAATGATTCAGAGTCGACTTTCTTTTGAGAGACAATAACTGTATTCATATTAAATAACTATATATTGATTATTTATTTGTAAAATTAATTCAAATGTTGAATATTCAATTATAATTATAGAATCTGATGTTTTATTTAGTTGTGGCTTTAGTACAATGACAATGTAATTTTAAAAATATGTAAGAATACATTAAAAAAAATAAACATATATTAACAGTGTTTCTGCAGGGGCCAGTTGCATAAACATAGCCACTGTGTTAAGACTGTGTCTTAAGAACTAGTTTGACTAACTAGTTGTTAGCCAAGAGGTAATCAGACCTACCTTTTGGATTCAAATGAGACCATTCTCCCTTTTTATAACTGACTTTAAGAAATTATGACCAGTCTTAAAGAGAAAAAATTAGATGACTAACTTTTTAAGTCTAGTCTAAGCGGTTTATGCAACCGGCCAGGTGTTTAATGAGTCTTGATTCACCTTTAAAGAAATTAAGCCATTAAAAACATCTTAAATCAGAGCAGAAAGTCTTAAATTGGCAAAGTTATGGCATTAAATGTGGCATGCATTTCTGAAAATGCATCTTTCTTAGAATTTTTGTCTTTTTCAATACAAATAGCTAAGCATCCTTAAATCAAGATACATTTACTTAAGGTGCAAAATGAAGACTTTGTTTTCTGAAAAACTAAACCAAATGAAGTGAGTTTGCTTAAAACAAGAACTAATGTCTAAGTATGCAATGAAAACTTGTTTTCCATTTGAATTAAGGGAATTAATAAATTGTTGAATTAAATGTCAGTTGAATTAATTCTACTGGCAGATGTTATTTTTAATCAAACTTCATTTTGATCAATTTGTCATTTTGCTTCTCAAGTAATTGTGTATTGAGTTAAGAATCTTTAGACATTTGCACTGGAAAACTACTAAAATCACACTTTTGCAGTGTTATCAAAGTATATTCAAATCCATTTTTATATTCTAGTGGTTGAGAGCAGAGCCTTAAGCCTTTTTTTGTTTTTTTTGTAAAATTAAAATAATGGAGATCGGTAGGAATGTGTATTTTCAAGCTTTCTAATGGCATTTTAAAATAACTCTTGAATCTCCATCAGGCAATGGCTTCCTAAATCCAAGATGGTACCGTTCGGAATCGACAAGACCTTAGACCGAAGCAAAATGTTGGAAGGCAGAACGTCAGGCATCCGTAAAGCTGTGCAAAGCGCCTTCAACCGTGCCATGAACCACTTGAGCCTTGTCCAGGACTTAGGCGCTGGAGATTAACGGAGATCCATGTTGGAGGGTTTCATCAAGCCCCGCGTTTACCCGACGCTACGCTCCCGTATCAGACTGGCACTTCCTCCCAATTCTGTTAGGAGCCGGCGAGCTTCTCAACGGACGAATGTGAGAGCGCCTTCACTCTCCTGTAATGTGCTGCAAGACTGCTGTGAACTCACACACTGCCATCTACTTTCCTTCACATTTCCATCACCATCCACGATACGCCTCGTGTTTAACTCTGGCTGTATATAGCATCATTCTAAATTATCCAACACTAATTTATTATTTTTTTTGGTTTGTACCGCACACGACCTCCTGGAAGATTTCTACTCCAAGGTAATTTCTCAACCGCACTGAGGTGCGAACCCATCTGGTGCTACATCACGTGCAAAGCCTTGATTTTTCCATGCTAGAGACTTTTGGAAGGGGCTGTTGCACTTACTGTATCAAACTTTTGTTGTTTTTCTTCTGTTTTTTTTAACGGTTAAGTTATTGTAATGTCAATGCAAGCTTCTCCTCCTTGGCATTAACATGTTATCTACTTTTTATATAAAAATATTCTTATGGGACACAACTAAGTGATGTTTGTAAATATTTATATAAAGCAAGAAATTATATACATGTAATACTTTAGAGTGGGTTTAAAAAAAAAAACATTTGGAGAAGAGGAAACAACAGTAGCGATGAAAGCCAGAAGTGCATCACTCATGCAAAACCAAAAATTTTGCTGCCCAGTTTTTCTTCTTTATTTTGGAATGTTTATCTCTTTTTTCATATTGGTTTGTGTGAATGTTTCGGGCAGATAGTATGAAAAATAAATCCCCCAAGTTGTTTTTTATTTTACTGTGCTCTCGGGAACTGTATTGTAGGTCTGAATAAAGATGTGCCTGTACAAATGTGTTGTATTAGGACAAAGAAAAGTATGCAAAACTTTATATTCAGAGTAGGCATATTTTGGTGGAAGCTGTGTTTGCCTATTTTTGCTTTGTGTGTGGGTGTTTTAATCATAGCCATCTGTTGTGACTGTTTAACTGTGTCTCTCTCCAGTATGGATTCTGGGTAGCATTCTGGGTTAAAACACTTTTTGTATGAATGTCTTGTATTGACCGGTACTCTTGTTTCTTTTCTCTGGGAGGATCACATTATAGTCAATGATAGTGAGTGCTGACGAGATCCAGTATTTTTTAAGTACACTGAAAATAAACAAAAAAATTACAAATGGTTGTTTGTCTTTTTGATGGTAATTGTTTTTTCTTCTTCTCTCTTCTAAACTTTAAAGGTGGGGTATGTATTTTTCCAAAAATGTTTTAGAAAACTGAGTCGGGCTAAATACCAAAACAAACTTGTAGCCAATCAGCAGTAAGGGGCCTGTCTACTCATAATGATGCCGAGAAGAGCGCTCAGTGCACAGGAGGACGGACAGCTGAGCCAAGCGACAGAAAGATAGAGATGGCGAATAAAAAAACAAAAGAGGGCTTACGGTAAAGCCAAGCGACAACCTCCTGCTCTCTGGTGAAGCCAACAAGGAAGTGACTTAAACTGTAATTCATCAACTGGCCGCTAGAGGCTGGCTGCAAAAGGGAGTCAATCTCATAAACTCCCCATGTTAAAATGCCCAACTTTACAGCAGAAAAAAAACGTTTACAACCTGGTTCAAAAAATGATTTAGGTTTATATAGCTAATTTTGCCCTTCGTGACAACTGTGAGGGGTTGAATCTTTTTATAACTCATCTGTTTAAATTATATTAAGCCTTAAAGGTCTGCGCTAATTAAGGGCGTGGCCACTTGAGTGACATGTGGATTGCCGCTACTGTCACCACCGTCGAGCTAAGTGGGCGTGGTTTCAGCTGCCTTCTCCCGCCTCTTTGCCCATTTTCGATTATCCGGGAGTAATGTGCGGTGACGCGCTGCCAAGATGGCGACGGCCGGCTCCGCCCACTTTGAGCTTCAAAAACGCTCTTCGGAAATCTACGGGTGACGTCACGGACACAACGTCCATGTTTTTATACAGTCTATAAAGCAAGAAGTAGGACCCATGTAAATATCGGATCCGCTTTCCAGCGCTGGAGAGAACTCAAAGAGCGGAAGGCCTGCGATCCGCTGAGGTGGCTTTGTTTCCAGTGGTGGAGGTAACGAAGCACAACTACTCACGTTATTGTAATTAAGTAGTTGTTTCAGGTACTTGTACTTTTTTGAGTATATTTTTAAAGCTGTACTTTTACTTGTACTTAAGTACAAATTAAGCAAAAATTAATACTTCATTACTGTGAAATCAGTTCGTTACTGAGTACGCCCACAATTTGAATTGATATTCAAACCTTTGACGGCGCTTCAGTAGCCAATAAAGATATCCGATCGTAAAGGGACCAATAAAAGCTCTGATATCTGCACCGGGAAAAGCCAAGTAGGTATAATGCTGCGTTCAAGTCCTCCTGGGACATTCGTACTTACAACGATTACAACGTTAGGTGCGTTCAAGTCCGTTTAGTCGGCACAAGATGGCGGTGCACCTTCTTTTAATAAATTACAAGAAAATACAACAGGGTCTGTTAACTCTGCTTATAGAAAATGAAGAGCAAAGAATTCGCATCAGGTGTGTTTTGCGTTTTTAGTATTTTTATTTAGACCAGGATCCTAGTATGACTGATTTTCAGCATCAACATATGCTAAAATACAGAGATTAAAAAAAGCTGTTAGCTAAATGCAACATGCAACATGGCAAATCAAAAGATTGTTCACTTATAGGTGCAAAAATGATAGCATTTTTTTTACTTGGATTCTACTCTATCGCTTTGTTTCAAGCAACAGGGGCATCCCGGGGCACGAAATTCGCAGGGTAGGAGGGGGTAGGGACACTGCCTGGGTGTAACTAAAAAGGTGTCATTGTGTGGTGAGGTCTGGTTGGGGAGTTACGGAACGAGCTCTTATTGCATAATCTTATTAACTGTTTATCTCCTGAACTGCAACTTTCTTTACCACGCTATTCAGCGCCAATCCCGCCGTGCAGTCAATTTCACTGGACAGGGTCAGGTGTGGGGTAGGTTTAGGGCAGGGCTATCCAAACTCGGCCCTGGAGGGCCGGTGTCCTGCAGAGTTTAGCTCCAACAGTCAGGTGTGTTGAGGCAAGTTGGAGCTAAACTCTGCAGGACACCGGCCCTCCAGGACCGAGTTTGGACAGCCCTGGTTTAGGGGTTAGCATTTTTTGTAGCATAGTGTAGGAAATCAACACTTTAATTGACACACAACTAATAAAATCTTTAGAATCAGTTGTGGGGCGGATTTTGCACTGAAGTGGATTGGGGGAAAAAATTGCGCATGCGTGTCATGTGTCTGTCTGTCAATGGGAGGAAGCCACGCCCTATTTTGGAGCTCCCACCCCGTTTTGCAGTTCCCGCCCCCATTTGGAGATCTCCGGGCTGCAGTTTATACCCTTCTCCAGAAATCACATAAAATACAAGGGGGTGCCCCTTGATAGAAAAAAAAAATCTCTCTGTGGGGTGGGGGCAGGGCCGGTTCTAGACATTAGGAGCCCCCCCATCCCCAATAATAAGCACTTGAAACAAATATGATCCCTAACCTTTATGTTTATGCAAAATGTAAAATTAAATGTTGTATATTTTTACTTATATAGTACAAAAGTTTGGACACATTACTATTTTTTTATGTTTTTGAATCAAGTCTCTTATACTCATCAAGCCTGGATTTATTTGATCAAAAATACAGAAAAAAAACAATAATATTGTGAAATATTATTACAATTTAAAATAATGGTTTTCTGTTTTACTATACTTTAAAATATATTTGTGTGATCAAAGCTGAATTTTCATCAGCCATTACCCAGTGTCACATGATCCTACATAAATCATTCTAATATGCTGATTTATTATCAATGTTAGAAACGGTGCTTAATGTTTATTTTATAACCTGTGATACTTTTTTCAGGATTTGTTGATTATCAGGAAGTTGTTTAAAATTATATATAAAAAAATAATTATATACAGTATATATAAATCTTTTATAACAATATGTCTTTACTATAACTTTTTATCTATTTGACACATCCTTGCTGAATATTACTGTTATATTGTTATACTGTTTTTTTTGTGTGTGTGTGTGTTTTTGATCAAATAAATGCAGACTTGATGAGCATAAGAAATTTCTCTCAAAAACATTAAAAATAGTAATGGGTCCAAACTTTTGACTGGTACTGTATATTAATTATTATTAGGAAGTTGTTTAAAATTATATATAAAAAAATAATTATATACAGTATATATAAATATTTTATAACAATATGTCTTTACTATAACTTTTTATCTATTTGACACATCCTTGCTGAATATTACTGTTATATTGTTATACTGTTTTTTTTGTGTGTGTGTGTTTTTGATCAAATAAATGCAGACTTGATGAGCATAAGAAATTTCTCTCAAAAACATTAAAAATAGTAATGGGTCCAAACTTTTGACTGGTACTGTATATTAATCAAACTTTCTATCTAAGGTAATCTTTTTTTTGTTTGTTTGATTAAGTTGTTACTGTTGTTGTTGTTATTTTGCTGTTTTATTCGCAGTTCCAGAATACCACTTCAGTAGATGAACATAAGTGCTTTTATCATTTTTTTCCTAGCTGCGGTATGGGCAGGATTTCCCCCTCCAATTTTTGTTAGAGCAGTAATGTAACATCATCAGCAGAATTTAGAAGATAATGTCCCGAATCCGGTCCATGGACTTCCGTTCATCCCTAGGTTAGTGGTAGCAACATTACAGAGCCCTTTTCCTAGTCTTGTATTTGAAAGTTCTAAAGTTCTAGTCTAGGCTTGCCTCATTGTGTTATCTGATTGCCTGGTTGCCTGATTCTCTGCCTGCCTTGGATTTCTCTCGCCTTATCGTTTGGACTCTATTTCTCCCTTTACTGGACTATCGCCTGTTTGTGGATTACCTGTTTGCCTGGCCCTCTGGATTACGTTCGCTGATCGAAGACCCTCGCCTGCCCTAGGAATACTCTTTGCCTTGCCTGTGATGTACCTGTGTTGTTGTTTGACCCTTGCCCGTTTTTTGACCACGTCTTTGTAATAAAACCTTGCTCATGGATCCGCATGTCTCATGTTCTGATTACTCCGTAACAGATACACACATCTGAGATCCTTTATTTGAAACATTAAAAAAATGTGAATACAATACTGCTTTTACTTTTGTAGCTATTTTGATAGTCAACTCCCGACCGGGATGTCAATCACTGAACGTGTAAATTCAAAGCGTCGCGTCTGGGCAACGCTTTTTAAAACTCGTAATAAAGTGGAGAATGATCTGTCCAGAAATTACACTGATCGACAGAAAAAGTTTATATTTAGAATACATTGCAATCACTCTAAAATAGATGGCAACAACTCACACAACTGCATATAGGAGCTGTACTTTTTTGCATGCCTATTTAGCCATTTGCATCGGACAGTTCACAGCACCTGATGGATTTGTTCGTTACGCAGACATTCAGACCCGCTTTGAAACTGCAGCATTAATTGGTTTAATTGCAGATGAGTGGCAATTCAACTATATCCAATGAACAATGAGGCTAGAATTTGCTGCCCATCTTGACTGGTGGACTAGCATATAGGGGATGCTACGGTTATGGAGGCCCCTCCACAAAGCCCGAGGCCCAGCCTAGGCAATCGCCTGCTCTGCCTATAGCTAGCTGCCTATAGCAATCTTATTGACAGGCCCTGGGTGGGGGTGGATCAGGATTGTAAATCGCATCAAGAGGAGTGGATCCCCCTCATTGAAATCACATTCCAGGGCCAGTTGACTACATCTTTGCATTTTTAACTAGATTTTTTCTTGCAGGGTTTCACACAGCTCATTTTATGGTAAAACAGGGGTGTCCAGCCCTGCTCCTGGAGGGCCACCAGCCTGCAGCGTTTAGCTCTAACCCTGATCAAACACATCTGAAAAATCTAACAAAAGTCTTAAGGATTACATAAAAAATTGTATGTTGTTACATAAGTTACATTATATGATTGTTTAGGGATGCTAAACCATACAGGGCAGTGGACCTCAAGGGGTAGAATTGCCCACCCCTGAGAATGAAGACGAGCAGAAATGTAAAAATACAAGAATGTCTGTGCCTCAGTTTTAGGACACTTAGACATGTCATGCATATACATATTTGTTTGCATCAAATAAATCATAGCATTATTGATGACTTCGGCTGTTTTTTAT